AAAATCAACCACCTGGACAATCTGAACTGATAGCATAAGAAGTTGAAAAACAGGTGATTGAGGCTCTAGAAATATTCAAAACAGAAATACTTTTCCAGATAAAAGACATGATTACAGACTCTAGAAAAGAAACAGATAGACAAATAGATGAGTTCAGGACCATGATGGAAGCCATGAATTCTCAGCATAGGAAAGAAATGGAAACCAAGAAGGCCCAACATCCTCAGACAAAGGACTATTATCTAGAATATATAAAGAACTCAAAATAATCAGCCCACCCCAATATAAGGACCAGATTCAAAAATGGGCATCTGAAATGAACAGACATTTCTCAGACAAAGAAGTAAAAGCAGCAAGTAAATATATGAAAAAATGTTCCACATTACTGCTCATTTGGGAGATGCAGATGAAAACAACACTGAGATTCCACCTCACCCCACAAAGAATGGCTGCTAAAGAAATCACACAATAACAAATGTTGATGGGGTTGTGGGGAGAAAGGAACCCTTCTCCATTGTTGGTGACTAGTGCAACCATTATGGAAATCAATATGAAGATACCTCAAAGAGCTGGGACTAGAGTTTCCATTTGACCCAGCCATCCCTCTGCTGGGTATCTTTCCAAAAGAATTAAAAGAATCATATCACAATGATATATGTGCACCTTTGTTTATAGCGGCACAGTTTGTAATAGCTAAAATTTGGAAACAGCCCATTTGCCCATCAGTTGGAAACTGGATAAAGAAGATGTGGTTTTTCTATAAAATGGAATACTACTCAGCCATAAAGAATGAGAAATTAGATTCATTCATAGGAAAATTGATACATATTGAGGATATACTCCTAAGGGAAATAAATAAGTGACACATGTAAATACTGAATAGTTTCTCTGGTGTGAATAAATTATAATAGTACATAAGATCCTAATGAATATAATTGACAATGTGAAATAGGAAGAAAAGGGCTAAAGGTGTAGGGAAAGTGGGAAGGGTAGGGGAAAGGTAATAAGGGAAAGGAAAAAAATAGGAGAAAATAAAAAAGTGGAAATAAAATGTTTGTAAATGGGGAGGGGAGAAGGGGGTGAAGGGAGGGCAGCGACAAGGGAAAAAAAATGAGAACCAAGACCTGTCATGTAAAGGTACAAGATCCCAATAATGAAGTGTACTGTATACCTAAAATGTACCAATAAACTCAATGAGGAAAAAAAAAAGAAGGCCCAACATAAGAAAGAAATGGAATCAATGAAACAGATTCAAACTACTATCCAGGAGATTAAAAACTCTATTAAAAGTATACACAGCAGACTAACCCAATCTGAACACAGAATATCAGGTATAGAAGATAGGATAGCAGTCAATGACCTTGAAAAGAGAGATCTCTTAAAAATAGTAAGGGACATAAGAAATCAAGCCAACAGCTCCTAGATGATGTAGAGAAGAATAATGTAAGATTAATAGGAGTCCATGAAAAAACAGGAGAAAGCACAAATGACATAAAAAACTGTTCACAGAATTAATGATAGAAAACTTCCCAGAGTAAAAGAACTTGATACACAGATAAGTGAGGCATATAGGACTCCAACTAGTTATAATAAAATAAAATCTACACAGACATATAATAATCAAGATTCTGGAAACCAAACAGAAGTACAAAATACAACAAGCAATTAGAGAAAAGAAATAAATTACATACAAAGGAAAGCCCATTAAAATCATAATACACTTTTCAATACAAACCCTCAAGTCAAGGAGAGCCTGGAGTGAGATATTTCAAGCTTTGAAAGAAAATAACCTTGGGCTGGGGATTTAGCTCAGTGATTCTGTTGCCTGCCTCACAAGCTCAAGGACCTGAGTTTGATCCCCAGTATATAAAAAAAAAAAAAGCAAACAAAACAAAACA